AGCAGTTCACTTTCCCTGGCTGTTTTTTTATTTTATTTTTATTTTATTTCTTTTTTACTGAATACCACAGTACCATCAGATGCTGCACAGCGGGGGCGACGGCATATTGGATGGATTTGGGGGCGTGGCAAAAGTAACTCCTCCGACCAAAGGTCTCGGAATCATCGTTACTCCTGTGCGCTGATACATATGGGAAAAGAAACATGTACATTCAAGAGGCAGGCACCGGCTTTGCAAACGATAATGGGGAGAATTTGAGATTGAAATAGGACAAAACAATAGTAAAAGCAGTGCACCATAGGAAGATGGAGAGAACTGACAATCAGATTTTAAGGCTGAGCGAAGGGGATCAAAGAGGGGTAGAAGGGATCTCGAGCTGGAGTGCGGTCAGTATAATTAGGCTGGTGTGTTGGCTGCGATGGAGAGATCATAGCCTGTCTGTGGCCCACTCCCACTTGCTACGCCGCAAGTGGTCGTTGACATTTTTCTTGAACGTGTGCATACCTCTGCGAGAAGGGGGAGACTGCAGAAGGGTAGGTGGGAGCTGATTCCACGTTGCGATGAGGTAGTGTGGAAATGAGCGGAGCGTGTTGTTTCGTGACTGAGGAGGAAGAATACTGGTGAGTTGTGATGGATGATGTGTTGCAGATCTGGTTGTCTCACGAGTAGACATGCGGCATTGCGGTGCGGCTGCTGATGGTGGCAGAATGGCTTTCACCATTTCCGGACCCTCCACAAAGTGCAGCTTGTACAGAAAGCAGAGCCCTGGTACGGTACGGCGAATGTCGAGGCTCGAGAGGTATGATCCATCTCCAATTATGTGCAGGGCACGGCGCTGGATGGCAGTGAGGCGGGCCAAGGTGGTGGGGGCTGCACTCATCCACACCAGCATGCCATACTCTAACACAGGGCGGAAAAGCCACGGTACACGATTTCCCGGTGCTTTGGGTCTAGCACAGCCGATGCCTTACTGGGCTCCGCGTACTGCAAGCTGTCGGATATGGCTGCGGAATGCCAGCTGCCTGTCGAAGGTGACGCCAAGAAGCTTGAGCTCCTCTACTTCTGGCACAACTGCTCCTTGGAAGCGTATTGCGTTCGGGGGGGGGGGGGGGGGGTTGGCGAGCTATGGTGGCTGATGGTCAATGCCTGCGACTTTGTGGGCTCGAACTTGATCCTCCACCTGCTTCCCCATGCTGCCAGTGAGTCTACTGCCTGCTGGAGGATTGCTGTCTCTTCTGGCAGTCTGAGTCGGGTGGTGATGCACTTGTAGAGAGTTGTGTCGTCGGCGTATACAGCCAGCTTCGCCCCATCAGGCAGATGGTCTTCTGCGTCGTTGACGTACAGAAGGAAGAGGGTGGGGCCGAGGATGCGGCCCTGCGGCACGCCAGATTGGATTCGGTGGGTCGGTGAAGACTGGCCGCCTATGACGACACGGATGTGGCCGTCTGTCAGGTAGCTCCGGAGCCAGGCAAGGAGGGGCCACTTATGCCGCACCGCTCAGCCTTGTGGAGGACGCCGTTGTGCGAGACCTTGTCGAAGGCCCGCAATATCTACTGCGAGTACCCTGACGAGGCCTCCACCGGCAGCTGCAAGGCTCCACTCATGCTGAAGAGCAATCAGCAAATCAGAGGTTCCCAGTCCAGTGCGAAAGCCAAACTGCCCTGTGAGAAAGGATGTCATTCTTCTTCAGGAAGTTGGACAGGCTGCGGTTCACGATGGACTCCATACACTTAGACATTATGGGCAGTAGTGATATCGGTCGGTAGTTTCTGGGGTTCGACTTGGGGCCTTTCTTGTGTACCGGTACGACGTTGGCAACTTTCCACATGGCAGGTTGATTATTTTACTTTTTTTTTACCTTGAAAGTAAAGTTTATCGCATTCCCATTTCTATTAATCACTTTCTTTCACCTCTGGCTCTGGTTTTACACACACATGTACATGTACGTTCCAGACACTGACCGTGGACTTGGTGGTAATAATAATACTTCAGTATTTTAATGTCTTTGAAGCTGTGTGAATCCACGCAGTCCAAACACTTGGTGGTATCTCTCATCAACAATAATGTTCCAACGAGCCCTGTGAAGTGGTTTCCAAAGTGCACTCTTCAACACTCTAAGCAGTCTGTGATGCTAGCCACTCGAAACTGCATTCCTACTAGAATCCTAGTGCCTTGCAGGTGCACACACACACACACGGATCATGAAGGTACACATTCAACTCTCTTGAGCCTTGATCTACATGTCGGTCAGTCATTCCAACACCCCGTTGATAGATGTGTTCGATCGCAATGTCAACCAGCCTTACTAAAGTATGATAATGAAGCGCTTTGAAAGTACAATGTGTGATTACCGTAGTTGCTCGCACTTTGGAGTGAAAAAAAACCCATTGTTCAGTGTACATATCTAGTATTCTACAGGTCGTTACCAACGCAAGTCTGCCCACAGCAGCGTATCCATACACTTGCAGAGGACTCTGCTGAGTCTTGTTCGTTTTGGGCTGGGTGTGAAATAGGATAGTCTGGTCTGACGTCCCGAGTATTATACCGGCCCATCGATGTGTGTAACCTGAGCAAAACTCAACGTTTTGCTTGTCTGGCCTTCATCCCAATGTTGCGGGGTGGGATAGCTAGCCAGCGGAAGTCCACTGGTGTCTGCTTTCCGGATGCTCCATCGCATTTCTGCATGTAGCTTGGTTGGATTGAGTTTAGCGAAGATAGAGCTAGAGAGAGAGGGAGCAAGCAGTATTGTGTGTGTGTGTACGTTTCGGTGACAGCTGTGTATGACTGTGATACCGCGGGGTTCAGTGGCTGAACCTGGAGATAGTCCTTTATCTACACCTGGTCCTGGACGCCCAATGTGACGAAGATCATGACAGGAAGGTAAGGTGTACGTCGTGCTGTGTGTGCTTTTAGCTGCCGGCAGCTGTCCACTGCAGACTTACCAGTAGTTTAAAACAGGATAAAGTCAGTGGCGTATACGCCATGGCTGCTCCATTCCCCTGTTCTCCCCTCACCTTGACCGCTATGGAATGTTGTTACCGATCCCAGGCACCTGCGATCGCGTGTGTAGGCATATCCAACCGGTGCCACTTCGTTGCTCCAACTGCCTCTGTCACACACTCACCCACCACCACCGCGCGCACCGACTGTCACTGTTTCAGATAGAGGTGCAAGTGTTTTAGTGTGACGTGACGGGGAGACGGAAAGACTGCCGCGGGTCTCTGTCTTTTGAACATGTATGTGTACAAACTAGCTATAGAGGGCCTACGAGTATATTTTCGATAAGCTGTCTTGCCTTTGGGAATTGTGTGCTGCTCCCTACATGGGAGCTCGCGGTTTTCCTGCCGACTTGAGTTCTCACTTGACTGGCTCACGACCGCCATCCAGAGCGCACGAGAAATCCATCGAACCGTCCACTGGCAAACCTGCAAGAAAGCACCACTCCCTGATCAATACACAGTGTTTTGCCTTCGGTTGAATTTACATTTTCATCACAAGTGTAGCAAGCTGTGGGCGCAGCCAGTGATGGTCAGACTCCAGTGACAACATGGATATGTAGGTTGATCGCAGTAGCCATGGATACCGGGTAGGCAGTGAAAAGAATCAAAAATGTTTGGCGGATTGACATATCACTAGCGTCATTAAGTTAACCATGTGTTGCTGTATCCCCTGACGATGCTGTTTAGAACGACGACACGTCTGGAAAAGCATCGAAACATTAATTCCTACATTTGTTTTAAATTTCCAACAAACTTAGTCTAGAGGGCAAGGCACGAGGGAAACATGGGATTTCGGTCTTTGACCACTTTGTGGTGCGGCTTATGAAGTTATCTACTCACCTCCCATCGCATAGGAGCTGCATCTGCGCCTTGATCCAAGAGAATTGTGGCGTTCCTATGGATGCGGAAAACTCGGCTTCCAACCGAGTCTCACGCGAACCGCGAATTTGTGTTTTTTAGTCTAGAAAAAGGAGAATATCTAATTAACAATGCGAGTGGCTGGCCTGCCTAATGACTTGTGTAGGTAAGCCCAAAACAAGTTACATGTGTGAAGTGTGTACAATGTACACTGACAGCAGCCTCTGCAAATGACTTGACCGGTAACAGGACTAGCTGCGCCCTGTTCAACCTTATCTACAAAGAGAATGCAGAGCAGTGTAGTACACAGTCTACACACCGCAGGACAACAGAACACAAAATGATAAGCTCTAGCTGATTGGTTTGTTGAGAGGGGAATTAGCAAGGATGGGCTGGAAAGTCGAAAGGAAGGAAGGGAGAGTGAGTGACAGACACACTATGCACACACGCACACGCACACACACACAGTGTGTGTGCGCCGGTGTGCACGAACGTATAACTATAAGTGAAAAAAAGAGAAATGGAAAGGAAACGAGAAAGAAGAAGGGATGAAGAAATGAAAATGTATAATTATTATGACCCTGTAATTTTGAAAATCTGTATACACTGCAGCATAAGTTTTTATTTGAAGGTTTTAAAAACATTTTTGCAGTGAAAACATGTACATGTACATTGCACTGTACGCATACGGTAATGACTGCGACAGGAGGGAAGGGGGGGGGGGGGACTTTTAAGCCATTACAACACTAAATGGACAATCATGTAACGTGTAACAATGAAGTAGCATGGCTGTGTGTGTATGAGCACGGAGGCGACAATGAGGTGTAAACAATCGCCATGCAATTGCCAATGTGTGTCACAAAGACCTCCTCCTGTCTGGCCCTGGCCGTTGGTTGTGTCCGCATAGCCGTCCCAACCCACACACCGCCCTATTACAGTACAGTGATGTACACATACTATGTTGGGTACTCCAGCAGGATAAAGAGTGTGGAGACAGGCATGAGGAGAAGACGTGGAACAGTGCACCTCCGACACGTCGTTCCAGGAACACAAATCAAGGTCATTTTGCATGGAACCTTGGCATGGGTCCCAGCCATTGCACATCTGTCGTCAGCCACTGTTGTACACGTGATACTGTCATAGAATGAGATTGGTCCAAGAAGGGACACACTCACGACTCACGACCCTGTCCGTTGCCTGAGCGGTTATCATGGACAAGTGGTAGATAGCAGACACACTCTGCATTGCTTGACTCTCTGTGCCAATTTTGCGTAACATGCATTTTTGGGCGACAGCATCTGTTACCATGCACCAGTATAGTGGAACACTTGCCTTGCCAGAATATCTAAAGCAATTACTCAGCCTATACTCAGCCTTTACCTCGTTTGTTCCTTTCCCTGATTCCAGATGCAAGTGGAGCGGCCTAGAAGAAGCCCGTGTCTCTGTTTTTGACACGGTGTTCGAGTGATCATCCCTGAAAGTGGAACGTACATGTACATAAGTGCGTGCGTGAGGTGTCGTCTCTCTGCTGGATCAAGGAAGCGGCGAAGGCAACGTGCGATTAACTCATATGTTACCAGCGGGTAACTCATAATAAGCCGAAACCAGCGTCACCACCACCTCCCTGGCCACAATGTCAAATTGGCTGAAACGCTTCCGACGTCAGGATAAATCGGCGTACGAAGCGGCCGATCCGTTCGTCGTTAGCGCCCGCAAGACTCTCGGCAGTCACTCTAGCGGCAATTTAGGTACACACCAGTCGAACGAATGGTCAAGTTTTGGGTATGATTATGAAAGTGACTCGTTGCAGGAGCGCGATGGGTCTCCAATACTACGGCGATATGCAAGATCTCACCACACACAACCAGCGTCTGACAGCGGGCAACGAGCTGCATCATCAGCCTTGCTTGCCAGTTGCAGCTGCTCGCACGCACTAGCTACCGCCACGAATGATGACAGCAGATCTAGAGCTAGCCGTGCAAAAGACACACTGGCGCACGTCAACTGGCCGGAGGTCGCTATCGAGCCAACTCCCCGCTACGATCATTTTCTAGCGGAAGAGGATACGGATAGCGATGGCAGCAGTCAAGGTACGACAACATTTGTTGGTGAATACGAGGACGGAGGCGAGCATAGGTACTATTTATCAGAACAGAGCGCTCCGCAGAGTTTGCAAGCCGCTTCAGAAAGGGACGACGATCAAGAATCGCGGTGCGGAAGTGAGCGGTCATATGGACCTTGGTGGTTGCGGAATTCGACAGTGACGACTCCGTCGACAACGTTGACATTTGAAGGCGTTCAGGACCGTGCATGGAGAATGGAGGGCAAAGTGTCAGACAAAAGTGGCAGTTTTCAGTCCAGTCTCAGTACCACCACTTTCAATGGCGACCTCGAGAGTGAAGATGCTTTGGAGAGTGCACTTGACGAGCGGAATGCAGCGCTTTTGGCACAATCTATAGCGGAGCGTAAATTAGTGCTGATGACGGCTCGTCGCGACCACTACGCTCGCCGCTACTACCGTGCATGCGAGCAGTGCAAAGGTCTGAAGACCACCGTCAACGCGCTGCTGCAGGAAGTGGATCACGCTCACCATCAACAGCGCACACTGGCTGCGGCGCTCAAACTGGTCACTGACTATAGGGATACTGCCAGACGGCCGCTGTCGGAAAAGAGTGCAGAAGCCAGCACTAGTTCTAGCAGCAGCAGCAGCAGCAGCAACAACAGCAGCAAGAGGTCACTCTGTGGAAGCAACAGCAGCTCTAGCAGTTCAAGCAGTGGCAGCACGGATGCCTGTTCTGTCAGTTTGAAGTGCTCAAGAAATGGAAAAGCAAATTGCCCATCCACAAAGCTGTCAGCAGCTAGCACACATTCACTGGCTGATAACAGTGAGCATGATAAGGGGGATGGCAAACTGCAACAACAGCAACACCTACAAGAACAGAAACAACAGCAGGAGCAACACCAGAAGCAAGACCAGCAAGAGCAACACAATCAGCCGCAGAAGGAACAGCTGGACACAAGGAATAAAGGTACAGTCAAACCTTTAACTAGAGACCACTGTGATTAGCAACCAGCCTGGTACTAAAGACCACTGTGATTAGCAACCAGCCTGGTACTAAAGACCACTGTGATTAGCAACCAGCCTGGTACTAAAGACCACTGTGATGAGCAACCAGCCTGGTACTAAAGACCACTGTGATGAGCAACCAGCCTGGTACAAAAGACCACTGTGACTAGCAACCAGCCTGGTACTAAAGACCACTGTGATTAGCAACCAGCCTGGTACTAAAGACCACTGTGATTAGCAACCAGCCTGGTACTAAAGACCACTGTGATTAGCAACCAGCCTGGTACTAAAGACCACTGTGATTAGCAACCAGCCTGGTACTAAAGACCACTTTGCCAGGCACAACGGTCTCACATTATGGTTGTGCAGTGCAAACCTCTAACTAAGGATCACCTGCCACTAAAGACCGCTTTCTCTGGCCCCAAGGGTTGGTCATTAGTCACAGATTCTACTGTAGTTGTAAAAGCAGGTGAGATAAAGACTATGAGTATAGCATAACAGTATTAGTAGTAGTAGTTTAGTAAAGGAGTTCTGTAGAAAAATCATTCAAGGACATCGATCGGATTTCATCTTGAAGATCTAATGACATGGGAAATCTAGTGTGACGCACGTGTGCGGCGAAAACTGCAAATCTTGTTGGAACTTTCCTTAGAAGGGGGTGAAGGGTATGGGCGTTTGGTCAACGCTGTGGCTGGTTGGTGAAGTGGAGTACGCACAGAGAATAGAACACACCGTTGAGTGCGTCCAAGTGCTGGAGTACTGGTAGCCAAATTACAACTTCATTACCTTTATCATGGTCACAGGTGACTAGAGAACATGGACAATAATTCAATATGTATACCCACTGCACATGGGTGATCAAGCCTTTGGGGCCTGGCCTACGACAAGGTGCCTAAAACGCTGAATGTTCTAGTTGATCTTGAATTTGCTAGGCTCCGTGAGGCTATCCCCTGATGATAGATTGGTTAGGTATTTGGGCATGTGGAATGGTGGAACATGCAGCAGCATAGAGCAGCATAGGTCAAATAGATCACATCAGAATGTATGTTTAGTCTGGCATTCCAATTACTTCCTCGACACGTAGGTGTGAATTTGAAGCCGGTCAGGCTCAGTTTGCACACCGCATGTGTGCAGGCAGCTGACAGAGATAGTGCTCAAAACAGCAGCTGTGCGACCTGTTCGTATGATGTGTTTGATGGCCCTCTTCCTCTCACGGTAAAACTGAGTTTCTACATACATGTACCACAAACTGCGTTGAGATGTAGAGCAAGCATCCCAGCACACAACTACTTGTACTAGTACTTCGAAGCACACACGAATATATACGCACATGGGGGCCTATGCACACACAGACACAGTCGCACACATGCACACCTTCACTCTCAAACAAACACACACACACACACACACACACATACACACACACACATACACACACACACACACACACACACACACATACACACACACGCACACACACACACACACACACACACGCACACACACACACACACACACAACTAGGCTCCTACTTATCAATCTTCAAATCTAATTATTTGATTTCGTTGTGGTGTGAAGTGAAGTGGACATCAATTTGCACCTGTGGCACTACATCAGCAGGCCAGCTGCACAGCCTGAACATGTGTATATGTGTGTGTGGGGGGGGGGGGGGCAAGGGTTTCACTTAGGAAGGCATGCATGCTTGCACAGGACATTGGGGCTGGCACTTGCATAATTTGATTTCTGGGACCTGAGACTACTTAGCCCATGATAGAGCACACAATCACACATGCACCCAATCCCCCCTCCACCCCATCCAGCAGTTGAGAGCTGTTGCATTGTCATATGATTGGATTTGTGTAGCAGGTGTACATAAAATGCAGGCTCTCCCATGTTAATTTTATCAGCTCTGGGGTGGTGACCTGTCCTAGTTGCCATCAGATGGACCCTGAAGTTGACATTCCCACTGAAGTCATGCGACCAATTGATTGGGGTGGGGTGCCAACAAACCAACATGTCCGATAACATGCATATAATTATCACTGCTGTGCTGGCTATGTGGTATTCCTGTTGTTTTATTTTCTGTTATGAAGTACCACTGCACTTCTCTCTGAATTATTTCTACAGTCTGTTCTCCTGTGGACACTGTTGGTGGTTGCCAAGGTGATGCCGAGCAGTCCAGCACCCTAGTGACATCACCGGGCGAGCAGTCTAACAGCCTAGTGACGTCATCGGGATACACTACGGGACACAGTAACGGGAGCAGTGAGCCGACGTCTCCCGAAGTGAGTCGCGATGTCGCTACCACTACGACAGCTGCTGCGTCCAATGGCGTGGAGAACCGCAGCGAGAGTTGCAGCAGCCAAGTGCCAGTCGATATTACAGCTAGAAGTAATGTCGGTGCTATGTTGGCCACCAATCCAGAGAAACATCGCAGTGCATTCAGTATGGACCGGGCACAACAGATCCTGAGAGAGAGGAACGCATGTAACAGAGTCGGTGGTGTTGCGCAACTAAGACGCAACAGCACCGGTACGTGCGGGACACTCCAGGACAGTAAACCTGACAGCGGTAGCGTAACAAGAAGCGGCGTTGACAGCACTGTGAATGATGACTCTACCGCTACCACAGGTCTTTCTTTAGCATCGGTATTACTAGCCGGCAAGCCTCGTTTCGGCACGATTCTCTCCCGTAAGTTATCAGACACCCTCAAGAAATCTGACATTGCACGAGTGCCTCACCTGAAAACCCAGCGTTCTGCTAGCACAACAATGCTGGCCTCCAGCTATTCTCCCGAGATAAAGCTCACAGCCGCACTGCACAATTCAGTTGATGCTTGTCATGATGATGATAACCATGGCGACGGCAAGCTCTTGCGTCCGCGACATGCCTTGCGACAAAGCTCTAGTCATCGTGTTCTGTCTCGCTCCGATGCTGTCGACCATGATGTTCAGAAAGACAGCAGCAGCAGCAGCAGCAGAAAGAACACCATTGCATCACTGTCGTCAAGCTCTCAACTTGCCCCAGGTTACGAGGAGATGTGTATGGTGTCGCAGTCACTGAAGAATCTCCAGTCGTTCCGAAGCAACGTGCTGACATTGTCAACAAAACACCTGGTGAGCATGCTGTGTAATATTCACTGCATGTCAGTGTGCAGTCATACTTCTAGGTATAACTGCATGTTGACAAGCCTTGTCTTTACCGAAACATCAAAACCATATCTACCTGTACATGGTCAAGGAAATCAGTACCCTATACAACTCGGTGTATACATATCTTTGCGTGTTCTATTTACAAAGAGCAACAGCGAAAACTGGCCCTTTCTTGTCTTTACTCGAAGTTGGAAAACACTCGTCAAACAGCAGCCGTTAGATGAGTGGTTCCTGACAAGAAACCTTGAGTAACAACAAGAAAGGACCTGTTGCGTTATTGCTCTTTGTAAATTGTGTTACTGGCGCTGTCCACTGGACATGTAGTACTATGAGGAAACTGCGCATCTTAGACACATATCTTTGTGTGAATGTGGGTGGGAGGGGCACGGCACATCGCTCGCAATCAGCTGACTGATGGTGGCCAGGTATTGTTGAACCTCTTACCCAGTCGGGGCATGTGTGGGTTGCCTCAAGGTAGGGTAGCTGTGTTTATCATATCACTCCGCATTGTTATCACTCCCAAGGCGCAACTCATTTCGCAAGGAACCCACTGCGTACGTAGCTTGTGTAGCGTAAAAGAAGACCTTATTGTCTGTCGGGAGTGCCCCAGTAGAATGATACAATGCGAAACAGATGTTCCCATCACATCACCCCTGAGGTGGGGTGGAAACGGTGTGTGTTGGGGGGGGGGGGGGGGGGAGCAGGGGTAGCTGGGGTATATGGAGTGGCATCCCGGGCATTTGTTTTGCCGCTTACTATCAGTCATATGATATATTACTAGATGGCATTAATTGCCACAAACCATTTGCTCCATCCATAGCACGAATGATGATGTCATTCATTCTAGGGCTCAAACGGTTAGTCCGATTAACCGGTTGCAGACCGGTCACGAAGAATTAACGGATAACCGATAAAGATAATGGTTACGCAGTAACTTTTCAGTCAGTTTTTCAAGTATCAGGTCGTTGCAAAGTATGCACTTTCGCAGGCTGTCGCACGCGTACGCAATTTCTGGGCTGTCAACTCGGTCATATCTGGTCTCTTGGTGTGATAGGATTTATGAATGAGCATGCAAGAGAATGTACATGTGTGCGTTGTACTGAATAGGGTACATTTTTTGAATGAGTATAGTCAAATATACGGTTAAAAAAGAGTCCGCAGGATTGCCGTGGCTTACAGGTTATAACCGTTGAACCGACCGTTAGCCTAGCAGTTAATCGTTAGGGGTAAAACCGTGACCGTTTGAGCCCGAATTCATTCCATACATGGGACATACGGTGTATTAAACGGTTTTCGAGCTTGAAGTATGTACGTGTTCTTGTTCTTGTGATCATGACTGTTTGCAGGAGGACGCTCAAAGCAAAGCATGTGATGGTCCTCCGGCCCACAGTGAGCCTGACGACAGTTCACAGATGGACAAGGTGATGAAAATGTGCAGTCAGTTCGAGCAGCAGCTGCACTCAGCCCTGAACGAGCTCAGCTGCAACACTCTGGAGATGATGTCATCCTCCACGGACATTACATCATCATCTACGGACATTACATCATCGTCCAAGGACATCATATCGTCGCCATTGATGAAGAATATTCTGGACGGCCAGTCACCATCGCAAGACACACTCGATTTCAAAACCCGGAACGCAGGCAAAGCTAGTGGGAAATCGAGCAGGTGTCATCGTCAACTCAGCCTTCCGAGTTTGGCCGCGGAGGGCAATGTGAAATCATTGCTGGCATCAACCGGTGTTGGCCCTGGTCCTGAGACATCGTCTACTCTCAGCGTACGCAAGCGGTCAATGAGCCTTGCACCAATTCACTCCAGTGTACGAGCGGCTACCAAGACGTGAGTTGCCAATAGCCTAGAATCTATAAAGTTGAACACGGATGGTGAGCCAATTTAATTATGGTAAAACGGAGAAGGACAACATGTTATGAGCTATGACGAACTGTCCACAAACGTAACCAGATCATTTTGTCGCAATCGCTGACTGTATAATTATGATCTGGGTTGGTGGACAGTTAATCCTACCTCGTAACATTGTATCCTTCTCCTTTTTTACTATTATCTATAGCACACGTTTGATTGAAATCATGTACAGCGTAGATCGAAGTATTGCAATGCAGTGAATGTCTGTTCTGAATGAGCTGCTGAGATTGGGCTTTCTGGAAGCTGCTATCTTCTTTGCCTGTGTTGACTTTAAACTCGAATGGTGAGCCAAGGATTAATGTTTACAAATCATCCATTCTGTCCAACACTACTTCTGCTTATAATCGTTACAGTCCATTCATCGGAAACTGGCCCGCTGGCTTTTGAAAGTCGGATTAGAGCCGAATTGAGGATCAAAAACCCACTTTAAATATTAAAAATCTGGGTTTTGGATCTGCTTCTCCATACATTTTGCCATGGCATACCTGTCCTAATTTTGT